ATCTAACACGCGTAAATATGTACAGCCCTCACGGCAGTTGCCGGCTGGCCAAATGCTACTTAGATACGAACACTAGCCCTCACGACAGTTGCCGGCCGGCCAGATGCTACTTAAAAACGAATGCGAGTTAAAACATTTGAGGCTGACCGGCCGCGAGCCAGCGACCTATAGATTACGATGTGGGTACATTCGGCACACTAACTACTAAGCCACGAAGATAGTTGGTCATCGCTGAGATGTAAGCCAGTTTTTTTAATGATGCAATTGGGCATTATCCGGGCAGCGCCTCTCTTTGGTTGTAAAAAGGAAATACGCCTGACTTTCCCAGCGCTAGGGGAGAAAGGCCCGGTTTAGCCAAAGGAAGTATTAAAAAAAAAACGGAATTTGATTTGTTGGTGGGGCGGTGGGGAACTTTATCGTGTGCCAATTTCATGACCCTAGATAAATACATTCAAGCCCAAGTGAGGTTAAACGTGATCAACTTTACCATAGTGATTATTTTGCGTTTATACACCCATAGCTCTAAGAATTACCGGCCGATTTTCCTATTTTTTTATTAACCCGCGCCCTGCTGGGGGGGGGGGGTGTTTGAACACCCCCCCCCTGTGGTTTTTCGCGAATATCTCCAAAACGGCGGCGCGGAGCGCCGCCGTTTTTGGTACACCTTATCATACATCAATTCTACACATGTTGTGAAAATTTCAGACCAAGGTCATTCAAGGTCAGGTCACCAGGTCACTTGAAGTGACCTCACCTCATAAAAACTTTCAATGTCTGTCATAGCTACACCGAGTGACCGATCGCTTTGAAACTTTCAGCGATTGCTAAGAGCAATAGCATGTACAAAATGTATATCTCAGAATTTTGATATCGATGACCTAAGGTCAGGTCAATTTTGCGACCTCCCCATTATAAGTCAATGGGAGAAAATTGAAATGCGCCTCTTTTGGATGAAAGACATTATAAACACTCCCAAACACCGAATTACAAGTGGTTTAGACACACTGAACTTGAAAATGGTGTCCGTGACCCTTGTTTATGCCCTGAGGTCATCTTAGGCCACGAATGGTATCTAACAGTTTTTCGCAAATAACTTTTGATAGAGGCATGCTAGAGCAATGAAAACGCCTTAGATGTGTTCAGCTCGACGATACGGATCGACTGATATGCAACATGACCCTTTCCGGTCAGGTCATGACCTTGACCTGAGGTCAAATTTTCAAGTTGACCTTTCAAGGTCAAGTTATAGTTCATTCGATGCGTCTTGACGAGAGGAACACGATGCCGGTAAAAGTAAGCTCGTACAAGGCTTGGGTCAAAAGTTATTGCAGAAAAACTGTTTTCGAAAAAATCGGTTATTTTTGCAGTTTTTGCCCCCTGCAGGCAAAACCGTTGACGTTAGGTCAAATCTGAGAGAATTACTCAGAAAGGGCGTTAATAGGGCTATCGAATGCGCTTTTCCGCGGCGCTGTAGCTCTATTGGTTCCCGAGTTATGCGTTGGCTTCTTGGAAATTTTCGACATTGGACCTGGAAATCGGCGAAATTTTGCCTTCAATGACCTCTGGTGACCTGACCTTTGACCTGACCAAAAAATTGACCGAAGTGATTTCGTCATTATTTTTACGCTCTTTCGAACGCCGCCTTCCGCGTATCGCTACGTGGCCCAGGAGCCGAGTTACAAGGGGGGGTGTTCAAACACCCCCCCCCCCCCCAGCAGGGCGTGGAAATCCAGGACCCCCAGCAGGGCGCGGGTTAATTCGATGTTTTAAGCATGTTAACCCGCGCCCCGCTGGGGGGGGGGGGCAGAATCTGCCCCCCCTCCCGTTTTTCGCCAATAACTTCTAAACGCGTTACGCCAGCGACGTCAAACTTTCAGTACCTTATCATACATCAATTTGACACGTTCCCTGAAAATTTGAGCAAAATCCGTCGGAAAATTTTTGAGAAATTGACGTTTTAGTGACGTCATGTTCGCCATTTTCGCCTCAAAAACGGCAAAATTTCAAACGCCGCTAACATCTTCATTTTTAAAGGAATCAAGACGTAACAAAAAAGGTTATACGTGATTCTACTTTGTCTATCAAATGGCTATCTCGGTTTTTTGAAAATTTTGGATTTTGGCCAATTTTTTTCCAAAAAACTGACTTTTTTGGGAAAATATTTATAAAATTCAATATTTTGAGTTTATCGAAAAAACCGGAATATATGTCAAAGACGTGGTCTATGTGCACCTACATACCAATTTTTAGAAGAATCGGTTCAAAAATGTGGGAGTTATTCAAAATTTTATGACGTCACGACACACAAAAATTTTGAAAAATGATTTTTTTTTGGAAGTTCTAGACCTCGTACGGAAACAAAAATAGCACCATTCGATTCGCCGTGAAAAACTGCATCGAATAGACACCTTTTTAGGCCTTAACAACCAACTTCAAAATTTGACCTCACTTGACCTGACCTTGACCTGACCTCGACCTGAAATTCATCCAGATGTGGTCCATATCACTTATTGAGTGTGCCTATTGAATTCCATGAGTAAAATGACCCATAAAACACGTGTCGCACATGCCATTTTCTATATTTTGTTTTTGGTGACCTGACCTGACCTTGACCTTGACCTTTGAATGACATTGTGTGCAATGAATATTGTCTTGGTAGTCTAAGAACACGTTTTGGGCAATCAGTCTCAGTCCATTCTTCGGCAACTACGGTGCAAGGCCGATACTGTAGAAACTTGTATTTTGTACCCTTGACCTGACCTTGACCTGACCTCTGACCTACTAAAGCAAAAAAAATTGGGCTCTTAAGATCCGCCTTGTTGAGAGCTTTCGATTGCCGTTTTCCCCGTCTTTCTATGACCATCGGTTCGGAAGTTAGACAGGGGGGGGGGGCAGAATCTGCCCCCCCCCCCCAGCAGGGCGCGTATGGCTGAATAGCCCAGCGGGGCGCGGGTTAAAGGGACAGTATCATCGAAAAAAAAATCCATGTATGGAGCTGATTTTTTTTTTACTAGCATTTCTTATTTTTCTGAATCACAAAAACATAGTTTGAGGAGCGAACTCGGTGAAAAATATTGCAACCACATTTCATTTTCATGATTCATTTTCATGAGCGAACCACCACTATACAAGCATGGCCGCCAGTTTGGAAGCATGCAAAATTACTACAGAACTGGCGCAGATTTGACGCTACGCTTACGCGGTCGTTCTTCTGATTGAGTTGTCCTTAGGGAGAGGTAGCCTTAGGTATTGCCTATAAAAATATAACGTGACAATTGGAGGGAGTGACAATTGGACGTGACAATTGACAATGGGAGAAAATATCACGTGACAATCACGTGATAAACGTCATACATTGGAGGGAGATTGTGATTCAAGCTGGAGGAATTCCTTTGTTGAGCCGCTAGAATCCGAAGGAAACAGCGGAAATTGCCTACGACTATTTAATGAATTTAACGGTGATGAATAAGTGCGAAAAACGTTTTGGCTTTATAAAATTTGATAAAATGACCAGGGTAAAAGTTTTATTACTGGCGGTCAATTCAAAACGGCGCAAACATTTAAACAGTGAAGATAGTGAAGCACGATTCAAAGCAATTCAAAGTGTGGTACACCTTTCGTACTTTGAGCGGCGATAGCGGGATAACGGTGTGGAGCTTCGAGGATCGGTCTTCAGTTCCCGGACCAGAAAGGTGGGGCCTATGCAATGTCAAATTTCATCAAAATGGTGATACTGTCCCTTTAAGAGAATCTCTAGTTAAGCTAGCAATAAATTTGGCAGTTAGTGACCTGCTAAGAGTAAGCTGTCGCCGGCAGAGTCGTGGGTCGGCCGATGCGGGAAACGTTTCAGTCACAATATTCTGTTTGCAGCCTAATAATTCAACTTTTACTAATTTAGTTTCGTTTTTTTACCATAATATTGCCTGTACATTTCTAAGCCTTCACACAAGATTTGACGCAAATCGATAACAATCAGCGGTAAGAAACGCAGTGCAAAGATGGAACCGTCCCGCGCCGGCACAGTCTACCATTCAGGCGGCAACGGCCGGCGCCGGCCGCCGAGCCGCTCCGGCAGGAATGTTTGACTTTACACCGCTATTACTAGAAAAGTTGTGAACCGATTTACCTATTGCTTGCACCAGAATATTTGCAATTCGATTCTGGACAGGTATTGACAATTTGACGTTAATATAATGAATACGACGTGAGTTATTGGCGAAAAACAGGTGGGGCTGGCGAAATCCGCCCCTTTCCACTGCGCGTGTATGTTGCACTTTTTGTTGCTATATCATCCAAAGTTATCGTTGGCCCACTCTAATTTTCTCAGCAGGTGTGCCTTACGTGTAGTGGAAGACAATATCAAAATTTGAGCAAAATCGAAGGGTACCCATTTTTCACAAATTATATTTTAAGAAATTAATTCAAAATAAGATAAATTCAAAATTTTCAAAATATGTAAAAACTGCCAAATTTTGATAGTATAACTCCTTATGTATACGTTCCACTTTGTTTAATGTTAATAGCTTCAAAAATGTTCAAGCTATAGACCTTTCAAGATTGCGATACACGCCCAATTCTGCTAAAAAAGCAGAAGTTCAGCGGCTTGTATCTCTGTAGCCCGAGGGCATATGACAAAATCCTTTGACCCTCAGAGGTTTCACCCAATAGGCAATAAGCATACCAAGTTTGAACAAAATCGCAGAGGTGACCGATTTTGACTGTCCCGGTTGACATGGAATGCCCCTAGACGGAATGACGAAGCTAGAGCCTGTCCAACGTTGATTTTGCTGCGTAGGTCCTGAACACAGTGAACACTGTTCGATGGTGAGATTGCAAAATGTCAATCTAATTTAGAAGCGACAGTTTAGCGTGTCACATGCCACTGAGACAGCAAAGAAAAAAGTTGCACACTTATTGCCTGACCAGCGCGTGACTATTAGTAAAGTGATCTAAGCGCGATGATTTGAGCAGACGGCCTTTCACACCCGAAACGATCGGTATCATCGTGTAATTCATCCGTGTATTATCCAAAATGTCTAAAAACACATGGCACACAACTGTTACGCGCGGCAAAATCACAGGACACATCATTATTGGTGCAAATTGTATAGAGTACCTCGGCCACCTCGACGCCTAGTCGGTGACAAAATAAACATTTATACAATCTGAATACTACACCGTCAATACAATGCCACATATTTGTGCACGGAGGGCAACCGTGGTTACCCGTCGCTAACATTGGCACAGCAGGCGGCCCCAAATTTGTTCACTGATCGAGGCACCATTGCAATAAATTCGCCTTATTCACTACCTAGGCGTAACTAAACGGGGACGGCAACACCAAGCGGACACATTAGCCTCCAGTTACAGCATTCGGTGGAATGTTAGTAATACACAGCAGGAGGAATAATAAACTAAAAAAGGCAAACATTAAGTAATATATGCCACCGCCACCAAAACGCGCGAGTTATAAAATCAGTAGAAAGATGGACAGAAGTGAGACGGAATCGACAGGGAACCCAATGTTCAACCCACCACCACAGCAAGGTCGGACGCAGTGCAAGAGTGCATAGCAAGACCGCTAAAATATTCTTAAAATACGCGTCTCAGCCAGAGTTTGTGCAGTGTGGTTATAGTGACGACCAGTCAATCTATAACACCGTTCCACGATCGAAGGCTGCACGCCCACTAGCGCCCTCTGCGCAGCCTCTCTCGCTGTAGGGCGCATCCGCAGCCTGCACCCCGGCGCTCGCATCCAGCACACATCAGCTACGTCGTACCCGACCACGACACCCCCGATACCGCGCACTACTTCTCGGGCTCCTCCACCCCACTGCGCCGACCCGGCCCACCGCGGCGGCCGGCCGGGCCAGGCCCGTCTGGGCCTTCACCCCTCCTTGGCAGGCGAGGTGGCGAATTCCTAGATGGGCTTGTAGAGCAGAGTGGTGACGTACTTTTTACGGTAGCGATGGGTGGCGCTGAGCACCATGACACCGTCCTTGATGCTCAGAGCGTACAGATGGTTAAGCATGACGTGGTTGGGCGCTGGCAGCAGCGTCGGCTCCATGGAGCCCGGCGTGTCCTTGTTGAGAATCACCTCCAGAAGATGCGGCGGCAGTGCCGGAGGGTGGTTGGGCGACGACGGTGCCCACGGCTTGGGCTGCGGCACCTCCTGGCCGTACTTGCCCGGCGGAGAGCCGGACAGATCGCCGCCAGCCGACACGGTCTCCATGTTGAGCGCGTCGCACGCCGTGAAGTCGGATAGTTTCACGGTGATGAAGTTGCGCTTGTCGCCGTCGGTGACGGTCGTCGGCTCGTTGTTGTCCACCATCCATTCCCCATCGATGAAGAACTTGTACTCGTGTCTGCCCTCGGGCAGGTTGACGATGCTCATGTGCTCCGAGTCCGTGTTGCTCTCACTGCGGGCCATCGGCACCGGTTTCCAGCCGGTGAAGCTGCCGCACAGCTGCACGTTCTTGCCGCCCTTCTTCCACTGGATGACGACCGGCAGGCGGCGCTCCTGCGGGCCCTCAGCCGGCGGCTCTGGCGTCGCGCGCGGCACCGAGATCGGCACCGAGCGCTGCGTCATCAGCGGCGGGTGGTGCGGCGGCACGACGGCTTCGATGCCGCTGAACCGGCGCCCCCTGTGCTCGGGCAGCACGGGCGCGCTGCCCTCGTGCGTGGCCGACGAGTGGCGGCGACGGTCGTGGTCCCAGATGAACGGCGAGTCGGAGAACCGGCCCACCGGAGAGGCTGAGCCGCTGGCCGTGTCGCCAGACCGGTGGCGCTCGCGGTTCTGGGCGTTACCCATCCTGCCCGGCTGACAGGGTCACTGGCTGTGGGCACACAACACATGACAATGGTTACTGCAAGGGAGAAATGTGAACAGACCCAGGCCTATTGGATTTAGTTACAATGCAATAGCTTGGGCCAGCCTGTACCATAAATTTGATAGAAATTCAATCTAAAACCAGTATAGCGCCTGTTGGGGCGACTAACGGAGCGAGCGAGGGGGTGAGTCTTGCACGTGCGAAATTTCGAGGGGGTACCTCCAACTGACTTGTGCACGGCACCCTACTAACCGGTCTCTAGCGATGTGCCAAATTTGAGCGCAATCGGCCCAGCCGTTCTCGAGATCTGGGAGCGGCACCCTGCACGTGCGCACGTGCAAAATGGGTCCCAACTGACTTGTGCACGGCACCCTACTAACTGGTCCCTAACCGTGTACCAAATTTGAGCGCCATCGGTCCAGTCATTCTCGAGATCTGGAAACGACCCCTGCACGTGCGCACGTGCAGCAGCACCCCAACTCTGGCACATGGATATGCAGTGCCTAGTGGGTGCCTACCTACATGCCAACTTTCAGCGCAATCGGCCAAGTAGTTACCGAGATATTGCAACAATTACAAAAATGACACCTCTTCGTTTTGCACGTGGCACGTGCATAAGGGGTCACCCACATGCATCGGGAATAGTCCAATACTTGGTAGAAGGAATGAAGCTACCCTACAAAAATTACCGCGTGTAAATCGGTCAAGTGGTTGCTGAGATATAAGCCTCGCAAAAGCGTCCGCACGGCCGGCCGGCCGGCCGGCCGGCCGGCCGCTCATACTCAGAAATTTCCGTTATTCTACGTAAGACTCCGCTCGCTTCGCTCGCTCCGTAACAATATAAATGGAAGGCATTGTGTGGAACAAATTTCGGATCTGAGGAATATATGTCACACCTATCTAAAAACAGCATAACCTGACCTGACCCAACCTTATCTTACACCTTATCTAACCTACTAAGACCTAATCTGAAGTATCATTGCCTTTTGCCTAGCATATGATGTCTGTGTGTGTACCCATAAGTGGATATAGTGGTGGTCAGGAATAGATCTAAGACAAGCAATAGGTACCAGCTGAGGTAAATTTTCAGGTTCAGTTGACAGTTACCTTGTAGTTGGCTTCATGCTGTAGCTGAAGCCAACTGTAGAATGCCTTAGCCTGAGAATTAACTTCATCTTTTGCCTAAAATCTCTCCTTTGCTCTCTGCATAAGGACAGAGACCTTGTCTTCATTTTCTTCATGAAAGGAGGAGACCTTCATCCTCCCCATAATCAACTCTAATTACGGAGCGAGCGAAGCGAGCGTAGTCTTTCCTTAGATTAACGGAAATTTCTGAGTATGAGCGGCCTGCCGGCCGGCCGTGGTCACGCTTTTGCGACGCTTATATCTCAGCAACCACTTGACCGATTTACACGCGGTAATTTTTGTAGGGTAGCTTCATTCCTTCTACCAAGTATTGGACTATTCCCGATGCATGTGGGTGACCCCTTATGTACGTGCCACGTGCAAAACGAAGAGGTGTCACTTTTGTAATTGTTGCAATATCTCGGTAACTACTTGGCCGATTGCGCTGAAAGTTGGCTTGTAGCTAGGCACCCACTAGGCAATGCATATCCATGTGCCAGACTTGGGGTGCTGCTGCACGTGCGCACGTGCAGGGGTCGATTCCAGATCTCGAGAACGGCTGGACCGATGGCGCTCAAATTTGGTACATAGTTAGGGACCGGTTAGTAGGGTGCAGTGTAAATGTCAGTTGGGACCCATTTTGCACGTGCGCACGTGCAGGGTGCCGCTTCCAGATCTCGAGAACGGCTGGGCCGATTGTGCTCAAATTTGGCACATCGCTAGAGACCGGTTAGTAGGGTGCCGTGCACAAGTCAGCTGGAGGTACCCCCTCGAAATTTCGCACGTGCAAGGCTCACCCTCTCGCTCGCTCCGTTAGTCGCCCCAAAAGGCGTTATACTGGTTTTACTCTTCAGCACTGGATTATGCACCTACTGGTGAAATGACAACGAATGACACATTTACCTAGCACACCTTTGCTGCAACATGACTGGTCCTATTTTCTACTTCCAAGTTCTACAAGTAGGTATCTTAAAAAGACAGATTCCGAAGAGAAATGGACCATGTAAAGGCTTCAAATAGATTAAACTGGGGTCTAAAGACTTCATTGTGCCATGGTGGCAGACCCAGAGTGGCAACTCTGTATGAGATTGATGCTACTGATGAACAAGAGAAAGAGTGAAAAGCACAATGCAATGGTTAATAGACAAAATAATCACAAGTAGGTGCACTTGCTGATCCAGAAGAGTGGTCTTACCAGGGGGCGTCGAAGTCTAGTTCCTACCAACCTGGCACTCCCATGCCTACGTCACCACGAGGACGCCCGAGGGCATTTACATGTTGAAGATAGGGAAATTGCCATAGTTTAGAGCCGCCTGAAGGGCAACCTTGAGATAGATGGTAATGTAAATGTGTGCTAATATGATCATCAACATGTTATTTATCCAAATCCAGGGCCAATTAATCGATAACCTGTCACGTTTTCCAGTGGTGATGCGCTAACTTTCGTGGTTTTTGCAGCCAATAAGGGTGTTTCATAGTGCGATTCAGCCGCATTATCGACTTTAATGCCATAAACCGCCACGGAACATACGATTTGCAGCTCCCGGCGTGATAGCTGCCAGTAGGACTCCGGAGTCGGAGTCATGAAGTCGGTCAGAGTTGACAGTTCTGACCTGAGTCGTCGAGTCGGAGTCAGAGTCGATTTTAAAAGCTGGAGTCTGAGTCAGTCACCGAAATTCGATCCCCTCCGCGCAGACCTTTCAGGGTTCCGTAGTCGGAGTTGTAGTCGGTCGGAGTCGACAGTTCTGACCAGAGTCAGTGTCAGAGTCGATTTTGAAAGTCAGAGGCGGAGTCGGAGTCACCAAAAATACATCGCCTCCGCAGACATGCTAGGGCTGTGAAGTCGGAGTCCGCGGTCAGAGCCGACATTTGACATCAAAGTCAGAGTTGATTTTTGAGTCTGAGTCAGAGTCGGAGTCATCAAGAAACCCATCGACGATCCGCAGTACCATGCAAAGGGCGCTGTCGATCGATGCCCTGAATTGCCTATGAATTGAATGAATAGATGACGATTAATTAGGTAGGTACCTTCTATTATTCATCCCCTGCCACTTGGTGGACTTACTTTCAGTAGAAAAAAGACGCATTATTTGTTTTTTTTTTTATTATTTATTGACAAATACTTTTTGAGCAATTAGGGATGCAGACACAAAATACAATGATAGCACCTCGCTGGCGCAAATCATTGCTAGATAGATGTTGAAATGTGTTGCCGTTGAAGAATCTACTGATTTTCCTGGCGGCTCTCGTTTTCAAGTAACTACTGGTCTTGTAAGATCTCTTGATTGCTCTCCGTCTGGCGTCTTCCATGAGGTTTTCTGAAAGCTAATCAAACGTTGCCACGGCTGCTCTTGATTGCATGGCGCCTGCTGGTTCTGGGTTCTTAATTGGTGGTTCTTGCGTCTGATCCTGTTGCTTCATGTTCAATCAATCACATTAAATTTCTAATGGAACAGACACCTCTACCTTTTCTTTCACTATCAGTCGACTTGCATTTACCCCTGTGGCCTACTCGCCCTTTTATTTTCACGCTAGATTCTACCAGTTATTGAAAAAGCCTCGAATAAAAAGCAAGAAAAGTATGTCAAGTTAAATAATTCACACGGTCCTAGAAAACCCGAAAAAAAAATCAAAAAGCCTGTCCATCTCACGTCCCTCACTTCATAACAAAAACCAGCCAAACATGCGAAAGAGTCCTTAGCAACGCCCTAGCAACGCATTTGTCTGAAGTGCGCAATATGTGTCACATCTGGAAAATTTAGTAGCTACTTGATTATTCAACTAGAGTTGGTCTATATCAGCTAGGCTTTTATATAAAAAATAAGTGTTTGCTTATCGAATTTATAGCAACTGGTTGCTTAACTTCGAAATAATGATTTAATACAGAAAAAGCTTGTTTGCGACATATTTGTAAAGAAACAACGGAAATAGCTTTGACTCGTGCGCTATTCTAGTACATTTTTGGTAGAAAACTTCGTCCAACCTTATGTTTTAGGGCCTTGGGTCTTACACATTGGAGGAAGCATATACAAAAAAAAAGTTATTTCCTCTTTTAGCACACTCTAAAAACTGGACAAATTGGCAAAATAGGAAGATGAAAGGAAAGGACACATCCTTCTAAGCTTAAAAGTGAGATCAACCATCAACACTCCCGAGTTATTACGGAGCGAGCGAAGCGAGCGTAGTCTTTCCTTAGATTAACGGAAATTTCTGAGTATGAGCGGCCGGCCGGCCGTGGTCACGCTTTTGCGAGGCTTATATCTCAGCAACCACTTGACCGATTTACACGCGGTAATTTTTGTAGGGTAGCTTCATTCCTTCTACCAAGTATTGGACTATTCCCGATGCATGTGGGTGACCCCTTATGCACGTGCCACGTGCAAAACGAAGAGGTGTCAGTTTTGTAATTGTTGCAATATCTCGGTAACTACTTGGCCGATTGCGCTGAAAGTTGGCATGTAAGTAGGCACCCACTAGGCACTGCATATACATGTGCCAGAGTTGGGGTGCTGCTGCACGTGCGCACGTGCAGGGGTCGTTTCCAGATCTCGGGAACGGCTGGACCGATTGCGCTCAAATTTGGTACACGGTTAGGGACCGGTTAGTAGGGTGCCGTGCACAAGTCAGTTGGGACCCATTTTGCACGTGCGCACGTGCAGGGTGTCGCTTCCAGATCTCGAGAACGACTGGGCCGATTGTGCCCAAATTTGGCACATCGCTAGAGACCAGTTAGTAGGGTGCCGTGCACAAGTCAGTTGGAGGTACCCCCTCGCAATTTCGCACGTGCAAGGCCCACCCTCTCGCTCGCTCCGTTAGTCGCCCCAAAAGGCGTTATACTGGTTATACTTTTTACACAAAACATTCATAAGTTACAGCCAATC